TGATGGAGTCTCGCTCTGTCATCTAGCCTGGAGTACAGTGGCACGATCTCAGCTTACTGCGACCTCCAGCTCCTGGTTCAAGTGATTCTCCCGCCTCAGCCACCTCAGCCTCCCGAGTAGCTGGAACTACAGGTGCCCACCACCACACCCAGCTAATTTTTGTATTTTTTTAGTACAGACGGGGTTTCACCCATATTGGCCAGACTGGTCTTGAATTCCCAACCTCAACTGATCCGCCTCCCTCGGCCTCCCAAGTAATGGAATTACAGGCATGAGCCACCTTGCCAGGCTGTGACTTAATTCCTAGAATCTGATGTTAGGTTTCTGTTTTGGGATAGGCTGAGGGTTTTATTTTGAGCAATGGATTAAGGCCTGGGCTATGGGTTCTGGACACATTGATAGCTCCAGTTTCTGGGTGGTGCTCTGGGTTCCTTATTAAACTCTGGTTTATGAGCCGTTCTTAGACAACAGTATGAGCTCTGTGCGCCAGCTGGGGTCAGGGTTCTCAACACTGGTCTGAGCTCTTGATTCTACAGGTCTGTTTCATATTGGATTATAGGGCTCTTGGTTCTGAACTCTGATCTGAGCCCTTGACCTCAGGTTGGGCTCTGGGTTCTAGTTGGAGCTCCAGGTTATGGCCTGGATCCAAGATTCTAGAGTCTGATTTGCATTCTGGCCTTTATATTCTAGACTCTGGCCTAAGCTTTGATCTCTAGGTTCTAGACTGACCTTCTGTTTATGGCATAGACATGGCTTATAGGTATTTTGACTTCTTGGCTGGGGTCTGGGTTGTAAGTTCAGATCTAGAATTTAGGAGGGGTCTAGGTTTTATATGGGGCTTCCGATTAGGATCTCCATTCTGGGATTTATTTATTTATGTATTTATTTATTTATTGAGATGAAGTTTCACTTTTGTTGCTAAGGATGGAGTGCAATGGCGCGATCTCGGCTCACCGCAACTTCCGCCTCCTGGGTTCAAGTGATTATCCTGCCTCAGCCTCCCGAGTAGCTGAGATCACAGGCATGCACCATCACACCTGGCTAGTTTTGCATTTTTAGTAGAGACAGGGCTTCTCCATGTTGGTCAGGCTGGTCTCGAACTCCCGACCTCAGGTGATCTGCCTGCCTCGGCCTCCCAAAGTGCTAGGATTACAGGCATGCACTGCGCCAGGCACATTCTGGGCTTTAAACACTGGGTTGAAGTCTGTATTCTAGGCTGCTCATAGCGGAGCTATAGACTAGACTCTGAACGAAACCTTGGATGTGGAACAGCCTCCAGATTTTGCCTCTATTCTTAGAGTTGTATGTTCCAGCTGTGAGCAGGGTTCCAGTTCTGGCTTTACGGCTAGACTGTAGGTCCTGAACTGGGCTCTGAGTTCTACGTAGTGTCCTTAGTTTCTGAATGTAGACGGGGTCCTGAATTCAGCCACCAATCTGGATTGGGCTAAGCTTGGTCTTGATGTAATGCGTGGCCTCTGGATGAATCACTGGATTAGATGTTTGGTTCTCAGCAGGCCCATGGGTTCCAAGCTGCCCATCTGCTTTCAGAACCTATGCTGAGTTCGAGATTTACGGAGGAGTCCACACCCGAGCTGTGTTTTTGGTTCCAGGCTCTTCTCTAGACCTCAAACCAGGAGCCAGCCACTACATTGGGTTCTACACAGAGATCCAGGTTCTCAGCTCAGTTCTAGGGCTTTAGACTCTAGAATTCACTGGACACAGGGACAGGGGAGGGGGTCACTTACGGGCGGCCGCAGTGCGCAGCGGTGATGACCCACTGGTCTGAAAGCAGGGCACCTCCGCAGAGGAAGCGCCGCCCGGGACCCGCCAGCAGGGCCGCCTGCCACGGCTGGGAGCTCCGGGTGCATGTATAGCCACCAATTATCTTGTTCTCATCCTCTTGGCTCCGTGTCATGTCTAGGAGTGGACAGGATTGGGTGGGGAAAGTAGATGAGCAAACACTCTCCACTTCGCAAGTTTGTAGGATTCCAGAACTGACAAATCCCCTTCCTTTTGGTCTAACCCCTAAACCTCCCACTTCTATCCATCCCACCCAGGGTGAGACATGTCCCATATTGACCCCGTTATTGCCCCAACACAGAGAGTTTTCTGACTCACCTCCCAAGTCACCTCCGTAGCATCTCTTATTTTGTGCCATGGCCACCTTATCCAGGAGCTTGCTACATCTACGACCCTCAGCTCTACGCTCCCATAATTTCTGTGATCACTTCTCGAAATATGCCACATTTCCCCCCAGTGAGTCCTTCCCCAACACATTCCAGGACCTCCCTGTCTCTTCCCCAAAGTTCTCACTCAGTGGGACCCCAAGGATCCACCATCTCTTGCCCCACACTTGCCCCCAGCCACCTCGCACACCCCACATCACGATCCCGCCACCCCATCGTCCTTCTCCACCTTCCCTCTGACAACAAAACATCTTTCCCACGTTGTTTCTTTCCTAGCACAGTCAAGTAGAACCCTGTGATCTTTCTGTTATGACCCACTCAGGACCTAATAGTTCTCTACGATTCCTTATTTATTTTGCACCAGATCTTATAAACACCTCTCTCCCCAGTCCCGCAATTTCCTAGCACCTCCACAACTAGGAATTTAGGCCTCCAGCACGCTCCCCCGTCATGATCCCCAGACCACTCCCGGCTCTTTCTTACGAGGTTCCATGAGCTCTTTTCCATGAGCATCCAGGGGCCCCAAGGACCCATTCCCCATCTCTTCTCAGAGTCTCCAGGGGAGCCCCTTGTCTCATACCCAACCCTTCTCTTACCTATAGCCAGGACTTGAAGTGCTGTCAGCAGGAGGAACATTTTAGGGGCTGAGGGCCAGGTTCTGTCAAATGCAGAGAGAAAGTGAGAGAGAAGGAACCTTCAACAGAACCAGGGGCTGAGAGGCAGAGACAGCGAGGGCCACTTACCCAGAGCCCAAGGCCCTCAGCGACATGAAGACAGAGCAGAGAGGTAGGGACCAGAGACCAGGAGGGCGGGGCCTGCAGGCTCTGCGGGCGACAGGCGGGAGGATGAGGAGCAGGGCGCAGGTCCCTCCTTGATGTCTTGGTGAAGGAAGGAGGGGAGGTGTCTCTCTTCCTAGTCACGCTGGCAAAGCCTTTTATCCCTGGTCAGGACAGCTGGCCCTGCCCCCACCTCCCGCTGCCCTGCTTCTGATTTTTTTTTTTTTTTTTATTGCCTAGTTCCCATTCCAGAACTCCCTGATCCCATCCCCTCCCTCCCCTCTCTGGCCAAAAAAGCAGCCACAATTGTTCATGAGAACCCGCCCCGGGAAGATGCTATAATCTAGAAGGAATCCTGGGAGGGGACCCCAGGGCAGGGTGGGCACGGGAGGGTTCTCAGTTGCTGGAGGTGGTGGATCTGGTGGTGGAGTCAGGAAACCAGGGTGGGGAGCCTCAGAGGAAAGGGCAAGAAGGGGCTGAGAGAGGGAGGAAGAGAGGCACTGAGAGAGGGAGTCACGGTAGGGGAGAGAGAGAGAGAGAGAGAGATAGAGAGACAGAAAGAGATGGAGAGACAGAGAGACAGAGAGAGAGCCAGACAGAGAGACACACACAGAGAGAGACGGAGAGAGACAGGGAGAGATGGAGAGAGAGACAGAGACAGAGAGACACAGAGACAGAGAGAGACAAAGACAGAGAGACAGACAGAGACAGAGAGATAGAGAGACAGAGAGACAGAGATGGAGAGACAGAGAGAGATGGAAAGACAGAGACAGACAGAGAGATACATAGACACACATACAGAGAGAGAGACAGAGAGTGAGAGAGAGGGAGAGGGAGGGGGAGAGAGAGAGAGGCTGGGAAAATGAATGAGACGATATGACAGTGGAGAGAGAGGGGTCCAGGAATACAAGCACAGAGGGAGGTGTGCTCATGAGCGAAGGAACTGAGGAGAGAGATGGAGAAAGAGGTGGAAACTGGATGTGACAGGGAACAGGAAAGGCAGATGGTGGGAAAAAAAGACCAAGGAAGAGGGAGACACAGAGATGCAGAGAGAGAGGGGTGTGGAGAAGTGGAGAGAGAAAAGCAAAAGACGGAGGCAAGAAGGTGGAGACAGAATGCAAACAGACACACAGAAAGAGAAAACAGAGGAGAGAGAGGAGAGAGGCCGAGACGCCCCCACCATGAGGCACTCACCACAAACATGCAGAACAACAGCGATGATGATGAAGGCAGTGCGGGCATGAGACGTGGAAGAGAATGGGACATGGTGAGAGAAAGAGGACAGGACAGGCAGGCTGATGGCAGAGGGGAGACAGGAAGGATGGGCACCTACAGGGGATGGGGACAATAACAGAGGAGACAGAGGCAGAGATGAGAGATGGCAGCGCCAGGGAGAGATGGAGAGGCGGGGTGGGATGGAAGACAGGCAGGAGGTGGGCGGGAGATACCTGGACCTGGAGCAGAGCTGCCCACCTTGCTTTCTCACTTTCGACTCCTAAGAGATGGGGGAGCAGAGGCCCCAGCAGGGAGCAGGAAGGTTGGCGCCAGAACTGGCATTCCCCAACTTGGGATCTGCAGAGGGGTGGGGAAGAGCTAGGTACAGAGACAAAGTGAGAGTTGGAGATGCAAAGAGAGAGTGACAGAGACCCAGAGAGGGGGACAGAGACCCAGAGGGAGAGGGACAGAGACCCAGAAAGAGAAAGGGACAGAGATTCAGACACAGAAGGACAGTCTTAAGAGACAGGGTCGGAAATTCAAAATGGTAGAGGGTAGAGAACAGGAGAGAGAGAGAGTGAATGAGGTGGGGAAGGAAGCTGGCCAGCCTGCAGAGGGGTTCTGGAGTTGGGGGGGTTCCATCCTCATTTGGGGGAGGGCCTATCCTCCTCAGCCCCTCCCCCAGCCCCTTAAATTCCCCAATGCTTGTGTCTGTCTGTGGGCCTGGGCAGCCCCATACCTGGACCACGTGGTGACTCAGGAGGCTGCCTGCCTCCCTTGGCTACCCCAACTGTTACCCCGGCCTCAGCCTGACTCAACCTCCCTCTACCTGGACACCCACCTAGGTTGGCGCTTTGGGCTGGTACTTGGCCTGGATCTGTCTCTGAACCTGGGGACGCACTGTCTGTGCACCTGCATCTGGACGCACACACCCATCTCTCCCCAGGTGCCTTTCTGTGATTCCTGAACTGTTTCTGTTTAACTATGGGCCGTCCTGCTTTGTTTGAGCTGAAGGCCTCGGGGAGCCTTCCCGGCCTCCTCTGCCATGGTTCAGGCTCTGCGTCAACACAAAAACCCCCTCTTTATTTTTAAATTTTTTATTTATTTACTTTTTAAAATTATTTATTTATTTATATATATATTTTTTTGAGACAGAGTCTCGCTCTTTAGCTCAGGCTGGAGTGAAGTGGCTCAATCTCGGCTCACTGCAACCTCTGCCTCCCGGGTTCAAGCGATTCTCCTGCCTCAGCCTCCTGAGTAGCTGGGGCTATAGGCACCCACCACCACGCCTTGCTCATTTTTTTGTATTTTTAGTAAAGACGGGGTTTCGCCATGTTGGCCAGTCTGGTCTCAAACTCCTGACCTCAAGTGATCCACCCTCCCTGGGCTCCCAAAGTGCAAGGATTACAGGCGTGAGCCACCGCACCCGGCAAGAACCCCCTCTTTTAAGAAAGGATTCTCTTGGGACCCAGGGATGGGGCAGCAGGAGGGAGCCGCTCTGTGGTGACGAATCATCTCTGCGCTGGATGTGGCGGTGATGACACGATTCTACACATGAGATAAAGAGACACAGAAGCCCACGTGTGCAAAGAAACGCGTGTGAAAAATGAACCCGCAGTGTGATCTGCAGTCTCGTTCATAGTTTGGTTTCTGTGCTGATTTCCTGGTTTCCATTCTGGACCTACAGTTACACAAGGTGTCGCCACGGGGGGAAGGAGGTGAGGGAGATTCCCGACACTGTGTGTGTAGCCTCCTGTGGGTCTGTAATTATCTCAAAGGAAAAAGTTAAAAATAAAACAGAATTTCCTAGTAAACACAAGGTCTCCTTGTTCCTAAAAAGAAACTCTATTTAAGCAGAAGGCCTTGGTCAACCCCCAGGAGCCTGAGAGCGGCTCCTTTATGCCACTCTATCCCTGGGATCCAAGAGAATCCTTTCTTTAAAGGGTGGGTGGGGGGTGGGCAAGCGTGGTGACTCACGCCTGTAATCGCAGCACTTTGGGAGGCCCAGGCGGGTGGATCACCTGAGGTCAGGAGTTCAAGACCAGCCTGGCCAACATGGTGAAACCCAGTCTCTACTAAAAATACAAAAAAAAAAAAAAAAAAAAGAGCCGGGCATGGTGGTGGGTGCCTGTAGCCCCAGCTACTCAGGAGGCTGAGGCAGGAGAATCGCTTGAACCCGGGAAGCAGAGGCTGCAGTGAGCCAAGACTGAGCCACTTCACTCCAGCCTGGGTGACAGAGTGAGACTCTGTCTCAAAATAAATAAATAAACAAACAAACACACAAACAAATAAATAAAGAGGGGGTTCTTGTGTTTATGCAGAGCCTGAGCCAGGGCACAGAATGCCTGGAAGGCTTCCCAAGGCCTTCAGCTCAAAGGTAGGGACACAGCTGGAGATGTAGCCGATGAGACCCCGTTCACCGCCCGTGGCTCCCAAGGACCCGCCGCCCCCAGCCCGGCCCTCAATGCCCGTCGTGCCGTGGCTGGGTTGCTGGGTCCTCTTCCCACCACATTCTAGGTTCCCGGGGTATCTCGCTCCACCACTCCACCACCTGCTTGGCACGGTCTTGTTTGCTGTGCCATGGGCATCGATAAACATCTGACGAATGAATGAACACAGGGCCTCAGTCGCTGCTCCTGTGTGAACTCACGGTCTGGTGAGACAGGCCAGCGGGGCCACAGGAAACTCCATCTGGTGTCACATGTGCTCCCCCGGAGGAGGCTGAGGGGCTGGATGGAGCCCCAGGTGTGGGAAAGGGTTCCGGGAGGAGCAGCTGTCTTAGCCGGGTTCTGCAGATGAATAGGAGTTTGCCAGGGAGGATGGACAGTGTGAGGAGAGGGTAGCAGGGAGGTGAGTGGTTTCCAGTAGGGATGGTGGGGCAGGAGGATGGTGAGAGAGCTCAGAGCATAGGAGAGAGGAGTGACCAAGACCAGTAGGGCCTGGTGCTGCAGGGGTGAGAATTTTACTCCAAGGGTAATGGGAGGTGGTGGCATGATCCTGAGTAGGGGAGAGCAGAATCCTTTGGTATACTCGGGTCTGGAGCTCAGAGTGATGGGGCGTCATGGCACAGATGGCGCTGGACACCAGCGGTGTGGAGCCCACCTAGGGAGAGGGTATACGGTGAGAGGACCCCACTGAAGACTCACAGCTCAGGGGAAGAGAAGCAGTTACCCCAGGGGTAGGAGTGATTGAAGAGCTAAGAGGGACACCAGGAGGGAGCAGTGTCAGGAAAGTTGAGAGCTTTTATTTCTTTTTAAACAGGGTCTCACTCTGTTCCCCAGGCTGGAGTGCAGTGGTGCAATCACAGCTTACTGCAGCCTTGAACTCCTGGCCTCAAGCAGTCCTCCCACCTCAGCCTCCTGAGTGGCTGGGACTACAGGCACGTGCTACCACAACCAGTTAATTTTTGTATTTTTTTTGTAGAGACGGGGTCTCACGATGTAGCCCAGGTTGGTCTCCAGGACTCAAGCGATTTGCCTGCCTTGGCCTCCCCAAGTGCTGGGATTACAGGCGTGAGCCAGCGTGCTGTGCCCAGCCAGAGAGCATTTTTTAAATGAGGGAGTGGCGGGGGCGGGGGCGGGGTCAGATGCCTCTGGAAGGAAGACAGGTGATGGGTGATTCTGGAGAGAAAGGTTTTCTGTGGTGTGCTAGGGGTGGAAGCTGGGCGGAGCAGAGGAGACCACAGGTGCAGACAGCTCTTGGCTGTTAGGGGAGGAGAAGGGAGCTTGACAGTGATGGCTGTTTATGAGAAAGGAAAACCCGGATAGCACTTGGAACAAAAACAATCGGTCACATGTATTCTGTGCTCAGCACA